ATCTGAATGCCTCTTCCACCATGCGATCCATTTTCTCTGTGTAACGAAGCCAATGGGCTTGAACCTGGAGTACAAACAAAAGAAGACTAAGCAAAAGGGACAGAAACCAGTTTCAAATCCACAAATTGACATAGCGTTCTTTTGTGTTATTGTTACCATTAGGCTTACCAACATACCTGCAATGATGTAGTCATGAGGTTGACTACTCTTGGACAGGTTTTCAACCGAATGACGTAAAACCAAAACCAAAGTGATCACTATATCCAGTCACAAGAGACTCGGACAATCAAGTGAACCAATCAAAACTCCAGATACTTACACGTAGCTGACGCAGAGCGCGGGAAAACGTGCCCAAGCGAGTCATGATTGGTTATGGTTTTATTTCTGATTGGATGAAAACTTGCCGTAATTTTTTTTAAGCCAATCGTGTAGCGTAGTACTGTAATGTAAAACTAATTACTTTTCAACACTCAAATTAAAACCGCTTTAGGCAAACATGATAATGCCCGTGAACCTTATAGACAATCTACTGAATTGATATACTTAAACTATCTTATACAATGAAATCAACTGCTGAATGTGACAAATTCATTTTAAACCCTTAACTCCGCTTTTCAGACTCTGTCATCAAGAAGGAATTTCAATTTAAGCAACATTTACCTCTTGCCCATCATGCTTGAAAACCTCATATGTCTGTTTCATGATGCCAACAATCTCCACATGAGTGACTTGAAGTCTTGTCTGTACAAGGCTACGATGATTTTTCTGCAAAAACAAAAAAACCTCCTGGACATTAGTTTTCCTATCCAAACACTTACTACCCCTTCAACAAGAAAGTGAATAAGTCGACACGAAGATACTAATCTTTTTTTTTTGGCATCTTGCACAGTGATTCAGTTTTCACCCACAAGCTCAAAATATAATTTTGGTGACAAACAGCCACACAGATCTTGACACAACAGTTATAAGAATCTTCTTATACGTCAGACAATATGGATATTCCTTTCTTACACAGCTTACACTCCAATAGCAAATGTAGTTCTGATATTGCCTTACTATCTCCAATATGATAACTGCAAACTAGTGTTTCGCTTCTTTGCATTCCTGCTGAGTGGAATTTAATGTAAACTAAGTACTACACAGAATACCTGATTCCCTAAAACAGTTTTGTGCAAAAATATATCCAGGCTGGTTCACCAGTGCATTACCTGTTCCTCTTCAAATTCCAGGTTGTCATAGACTCTCTTGC